GAGCATGGCCAGTGATCAAGGAGGATGAGATATGTCATTCAACAACATTAAGAGGAACACACTTCAGATTATTACGAGGTTTATGTAAGCAACAACAGCAGCTGGGATTCTTTATGTGCAAAAATGGAAGGAACAAGAAGCTACCACCAAAGAAGAATAGAAAAACAAGGTGATGGACTATGCAGAATTGGCGAAGTTAACAGCCAGAAAAAGAAAACTTGATGACCATTGTTTTGTGGAAGAATTGAAGCCTTTTTCGGATTACTTAAAGAAATACTATACAGTGGTACCTCTGGTTATGAATGCTTCTGGTTACAAATGCTTCAGGTTACGAGCTCCGTTAACCCGGAAGTAGCTGCTCTTGGTTGCAAACTTTGCCCCAGGATGTGAATGGAAATTGTGCGCCAGAGGCGCACACAGTGGGAAACCCCATTAGCGAAAGTGCGCCTCAGGATAAGAACGGTTTCAGCTTAAGAATGGACCTCCGGAACGAATTAAGTTCATAACAGAGGTACCACTGTAGTATGTTGAACTCGCGAGCCAGGATTTGAACTATGAGTGACAGAAGAAATTAGAGATTATAGTAATGTTGTTATGGTATAAGAGATATAAGATAGGATGCAGTAGAGGGGGAGAAATAAAAACACCATGGAAAACAGGGGGGAAGTTGACAAAACAAAAAACAAAAAATACTATGCATATGTTAAACTTTTGAAAATTTAATAAAATAAAATTGAAAAAAGAGGGTGACACTTCCCTGTTCCTGATCTACTGTAATAAGTAGACTAGATTTCATATTCCTACAGCAATACAATGTGATGATGATCTGCAGTGAGATGGACATATTGGAATTTGTAAAAAAAAAAAAGATATGGGTGGGATGTGGAAAACTCTCCGCAGGGCTCCTGATCCCTCAAACAAACGTAGTATCTCTAAACCAACTTTAATATCTATGGACATATGGAAGATGCACCCCCATAAGTACAGAAACTGCATGTTTCTGGTATTGTTACGTTGTTGTGGCCCTGAGGTACAGAGAAGACCTGTTCCCATATTACACTGGAGAGTGGTGCGGTCCACCAGATATTCTTATTTTAAAGGCTTGTCATTCTTTCAGAACATCACCAGCTCATATAACCTAATGCTCTCCCTTGGCTTAGCACAGTGCGGTTTCATACACTAATGCAGAGCAGATGTTGCAGATCCACAGTAAACTCCATTACTTGAACATTAATTAGAATGGGTATGATATGGCATGGAGAGCAGCAGTTGGATTTGGAGGCACCAGATCCTGCTTTCTTATTGCTGAACCTCATGCGGTTTCCCAGTTTGGCCACTACTGCCAAATACTGTCTCTGTGTAGTGCATATTGATCTGTTTTTAAGCTTCAGCATTTAAATGACTGTACTGTTGTCCAGGAGTAACAAAGAGACAGAGGCAAAGACAAGAATTAGCTCTGCCCTCTGAATTGTTTCTTTCTCAGTCCTATGTGTGTTGGGTTTGGTAGGTGATCAAGTATAGCCATACCACAAACATATTTTATTTCTTTGTCTATTAAATTTGCATACCACCCTCAGGGGATCCCAGGGTGGTTCACAGAGTAAAATACAATACAGTGGTACCTCGGGTTACAGACGCTTCAAGTTACAGACTCCGCTAACCCAGAAATAGTACCTCGGGTTAAGAACTTTGCTTCAGGATGAGAACAGAAATTGTGCGCCGGCGGTGCGGTGGCAGCAGGAGGCCCCATTAGCTAAAGTGGTACCTCAGGTTAAGAACAGTTTCAAGTTAAAAACAGACCTCCAGAATGAAATAAGTTCTTAATCCGATGTACCACTATATAAAACACAAGTAAATAAGTAAACCAGATACATTTAAAAGGCTATGAAATATTAAGCAGTCAAAGGCCTGGTTGAAGAGGACCGTTTTTGCCTTGTGCCTAAAAATATAGAATGAAGGCGAACCTCCCTGGGGAGAGCATTCCACAAACATGCCATCTTAGCCACAGTTTATGGAGACCAGGAAACACATAGTTTCAAAACAGTATTTATTTATTACTTTGTACATTCCAAGGCAAAGATGTGAGACTGAAATGAAGATTGGACAATAGCGAAAGGGAACTTCAATCTTCAAAGGCAGTGTACTTCTGCATGCCTGTTTATAAGGAAAGAGTAGCAATGGATGGTTGCTGAGGTTTGCTGGTGGGCTTCTTCAAGACACCTGGTTGGCCACAGTGCAAAACAGAAAAGTGGACTAGAGAGAGAAGATATGGTCTGATAGAGAAGGGCTTAAAATGCCTTCTGAAGCTAAGAAGTGGCAACCTATAAACTATGGAAATGTATTCTGCACTTGCCACAGTGGCACAAGTCTATGCTGAAAAGGGTAGCAAACGCCCCCTTTTTAGTCACTGGCCAAACCACGCACATTTTCTTCTTAGTGCAACATTTCAAGCACATTACATTTAATGTGATATTAAGGATTATTCCACATCAGTGTCTACAAATAAAAACCATAGCAGTTACAGGATGTTTTTCTTCCTTGTTCGCAGCTGGGAACAAAGTCCCTTGCCTGTTGTTTACATTTTTATACATATAATGTTCAGCATGCTTGAATATTCAACTTCACATGCAGTGATCTCTGTCTTAATTTCAGATGCATAGTCGGGCATTCGGAAACCTGGACGTGTTAGAAAGTCAGTCTCCACACATCTGTCATCATGCCTGAATATTCATGGGCAAGTGCCCATGAACAGTGTACTGGGCTCAAAAGGCAATCCAAAAATTCCATGGAGAACATTGGTGAGACCTTTCTGTACACAGGATCTTCCAAGCGCAATTCTCCTGGAATCAGTGAGGCTTGCCATTGGTTCTTACATGACTCAGGTGGTTATGGTCGCTAGTCCTGCATGGTTGCAGTTCACACTGTTCCGATAACACTGAATGGGGAGCACATGGGCAAGGGGTGGATGATGCGACTTCCTAGGCTAATGCTGCCCTTTTGCCATTCTCCCTGACTCTGTGGTGCAGCATAAAGGAGGCAGGTGGAAGATTATCTAGCCACAAAGGCTATAAAGTGTATGGAGGCTGGAGATGCTATTGTACACGTTTGGGACTTTTGACATTATGGGAACGATCATTCCCATGTGGCAAGAGTCATCATAGGCTGCAGTCTGTGCAGACTTACACTGGCCTTCCTCAGATAACTTTGGGAGGAAAACTGAGGTTGTGGAGAAGCCCTCATCTATGTTGAGCAGTTTGTGGAAGCCACCAAGTAACAGTGGTGCATGTGGATGACCTTACAGCCTATCTGTGATTGATTGGAATTCCATATTTAAAATCAAATTAACTACAAAGCAGAGCAGGGATGTTCTTCCCATCCCTAATTTTAATATATATTGCACACTTTAGATCATCCTTCATTTTATATTATCCTCCATGCCATTAAACTGAGGAATTATACTTCATTTACCAAGGATGGGAAGTTGAGCTGGAGAAACTTCAGACTCCCAAACAAAATTATTAATGGCTGGATGTTATACTGATTAGATTTAGGTGGCTGTAAAGGTTGCAAGTGAACTAAATCTAGCTGGCTGTGCTGTGTTTGCAGGCCAACACTGCCCTCATTATAAAACGATCATTCATTTGGCATGTTGGCAGGCTGTGCTTTAAGACTCCATGTCTAGGTTTCATGTGCAGGAGAATAAATGGACCTCTCGTATCTTAAAGCACAGGAAAAGTTTGTTATTCAAGACCGAGGGGCATTTTGAAAAATAATGTCCAAGTATATAAATGAAGTTTATGCTGTATCTGTGGTGCAGTATTTGAATAACAGTTGCAATTACCCATAATGCTTCAAGCCATCATATATGAGATGGCAACAATAGTTGAAGCCTACCTGTAGAAAGCAGGAAGAAGGATTCACACCCCACCAACTAACCCTCATCAGCTCCACTCTCAAACTTTGCATATTGATGAAGAGCTGAAGGGTAACTCTTTGTACAGTTGTCTGAATGCTCTTAAAAATCCCCTCTGCGATCGAGAGCCTTGACTGCACATGTTCAGTATGTTCAGTTGAGCAGGTGAATGTGTATGTGTTCAGACATTCGCCCTCAACATGCCAAGTCTAAAAGTGGAGGTTGTGGGGATGGGTGGCATCTTGCAGACATTGGTCTTTCAAATTTCAGTGGTGCCCAGTGTGAGGACAAAATTCAACCCCCCCCGCGCCTTTCACCTTCTGTTCTGCTCAATTCACTACATCATACCTGTGATGCCCTGCAGAGTCCCCATGGCTCTGCACCTACAGTAGTGTAGTGGAACTAGTCACACACTGGCCTAAATCTGCCTCTGTCCCTGTCTGCACATTCTTTGCATGAGGAAAAAACACATGCATAGGACTTAACACATGCATCAAAGTGGGGTTCTTCTTGGGGTAGACACTATCCCTAGTGTATCATCAATCCATTACTTCTAGAGCTATCCAAACAAATACAAGGATCAATTTTGCATTTATTCCAATTAGGAGAAAACAGAGAAGTCTATATAAAGCCACAGGGTGGTAGTTCACTACATTTTACCCACTGGGAAAAAACCACACACCATGATAGTGGGGTAGGAGAGCTGAAAATAATGCCAATATAGTTCACATCTGTCAACCAATGCTCCCCTTTGGTTTCAGATAGTACATTGGTAGACAAGTCTAAAAAGTCTGGGACACAAATTTTCACCGCCTTCTAGTTGCTATGGTGGCTCATGTACCAGAAGTAATGTATTTAGTCTTAACTCCGAAAGTGTATACTCGATTCTGACCAAACTAAGAATCCAAGAGCAAAATATACATCAGGAGGCTTCTGGCGTATATATCCCAATGTTCTTATGTTGACTGAAATGGGAAGACAATAGTTTTAAAGTGCAACACACACACTTATCCACATTGCATTGCTATATTGTCCTCATGAAAGTTACTGCTGCTCAAATTCAGGCACAGTTTACTACCAAGAGGCCATCTTTTCTTTCATCCTTTACATTGTCGCTTGTGTTCCTCTGCTTAAGGGTATTTGTCAGCTAGCAGCAGGTAGTGGTTGTAAATGCCTCCTCTGTTTGTTTGCTTATTGGGTTCCTTTCTGTGAAGGATCTGAAATTGCTGTGGTAAGAGACAGAAAGTTGGCTGAGACGGACCACTGGGAGATCAACACAAACTAAACCTGGAAATAAGAGACAAATATTTATTAATGAGGGTGAGCAGAGATTGCAAGAGGCGTCCAGGGAAAGTTGTGGAATCTCAATATGCCACACTCTTCAAACAGCTCTCCAAAGGCTGGAATTTGTTTAAGCACAAGCCGACTTTAGCTTAATAATAACTAGAGGGGATGCAGAAGACTAGCGGTCCCATCCACAAGCCAATCAAGCAGAAGCATTTGGATATAAGCCAATTTAGTCCAATTGGAGTTAATGAGATTCAGTAGGCTTCGAACACAAGTGAAGGCTGGGTTGTAATGAGGCCAGGCTGGGTAAGAGCAACAATCCTTCCTGCTCTGAAGAATGGCAGGGAAGAATGGCAGGGAAGATGCAAGAAGCAATGCACACTTAGCCTGGCATTATTTGGAGACGTAAGAGCCATGCCCAGGGTCAGAATGATCACTTAATGAATCAGCGAGGGCTGAACAGTCAGATAATAGGTTGCATCATTGGTCAGATCCAGTTTATACTCTTCTTGTGATCTTAAGCACATACACACAACTTCATATTCTTCCCTTGCAGAGATGTTGGTATGCAGTTCAGAAATGCATTTACAAAGAGAGAGCAGAAATGTTGACCAAGCATTCATTACATTCACAGTACTACATTAACAAAATGTAATTATAATTATCCTCCCAGGCTTTCACTTAGCAGTTTGATTACTTTCCCTCTAAATACTTAAGCGAATCTGAAATGTGCCTTTCAGCTAATTCTTCCTGCAGATACTGGTTCATCTGGTTCTGTACTCCCTGCTTTTATGGGGTAGAAGAGCTGTTCCCTACATTATGTTTTAGGTGTACACCTAAGGTGTTTTAAGTGTATGTCTAGCAATGAAAAATGTCAGCATAGTGTAATGGTTAGAGGAGCTTTTGCCAATTTGGTGCTCTCCAGATACAGTTGTACCCTGGATCCTGAACGCCTTGGTACTTGGACGTTTCGGCTACCGAATGCCACAAACCAGGAAGTGAGTGTTCCAGTTTGTGAACGTTCTTTGGAACCCAAATGAACGACAGGGGTTCTGCGGCTTCCGATTGTGAAGCCGCACTATGGTTTCCCAACGTTTTGGAAGTCGAACAGACTTCTGGAACAGATTCCATTCCACTTCCAAGGTACAACTGTATTTTGGACTAATGGGAATTGTTGTCCAAACAGAAAAACTGAGAAGGAGTGCTGGGCTCACCTCAATTTATTTCCCAGGGGGCGGACCCAAGCAAGGCCCATTGGCTGTTTGGCCCATCCCTTGGGGAGTTGCTGGACCCGGGCCTGCCTGCCAAAGGCCAATTTGCAGGCAGGCCTGCAGTTCTCCCCAGCTGGCTGCCGGATCGCTGACCAGGGCTGTGGCCAGGCCTCAATGCCTTTTGACCGTTTAAGATAAGCAGACTTGTCATCCAAAACATCTGAGGGGACCCAAATACATGGCTCAGACACGTGCAGCATATACATATATAGCCTTATCATGAAATTTGGATTTACTATAGCACACTGTTCAGCCATTCTTTCCTGGCAAACATGCATTTACTGCTGTGAAATTTGCACTTTTGCCTGTAGTTCTTAGGCATTTTAATTTATTTAGCAAGATTTATATATTGCTCTATCAAACAAAACAGTCAAACGATCCAAGCAGTTTCCATAAATAGTATAAAAGATTCATTTAAAATAGTGGTAGAAAAGAGTTTAGAAACAATATATGCATTTATTTCTTGTGCTTGCTTTAAACTTAGCACAAAACTTCTAGAAAGTGATTTACCATCTGCTGAAGCCTTAAGGTAAGGCTGCATGCCAGGCAATAATTCACTAAGGAATATTCTCTATTTTCCTTAAGAATGATCTTAAATGTGATTTCATTTCATTCCTCCAAATTATGGTAAATTTCCTTGTGACTGGCTCTAGTCAATAGAGCAGAGTGAAGGATATGTTTTGAAAGATCTCCCATCTCACTTCTCAGCATTTACTTTTTTCTTCATTTAAAAAGCTGGAAATGCACAGCTCTGCACTGTGCAGTATTTGTGATCTATTGGTCAACCCCTGCTTGATTAATGCACAATTTTAGTATTTTCCTCCCAACCTGCAAGCTGCTTTCCTTCAATGATTAAAAAATGAGCACTTGGCACCCTTAAGCACACACGCTGATGTTCCAGGCTCAAATTTATCTTGTAGCTTTGAAAAATAGCCCTATAAACACCAGCACATCTGAAAGCTTTACTATGTATTCCAATGAGCACTGATCAAAAGAGCTGATCTGAGTGCTGCGGTCAGACTTGCAGAAAGGTTAAAGTTCACTCTCCAGGAAGCATATGAATTATAAGATGTGCCTGGGAGATGGGGGGGGGCAAGAAAGACTGATTGACTAGTCATATGCAAAGAATCATGGAAGTGGGAAGAAACTTTGAGATCATTTATTCCTACCCCTGTTCAGTTCAGGAATCAAGATCCTTGACAGATAGCTTTATGCCTCTACTTGAACATCTGCAACTATGAAGAGTCCCATCACCTTCTGAGATACTCTGTTTCACTCCCACACAGCCCTTGCCATTAGAAAGGGTATCCTAATGTTTAGTCGAAATCTACTTCCATGTATTAGTTCTAGTCCTTTCCCCTGGAGCTACGCAGAATAAGCATGCTCCATCTTCTGTATGGCAGCTCTTTGTGTGTTTGAAGGCAGCTATCATGTCTCCACTTAAATCTTCTCTTAAGGAAGTTAAACATCACCAGCTCTTTCTCATGGACAGAGCTTTTTTTCAACTGGAACTCAATTCTGGCACCTCTCAAATGGGTCCCATTGCCATTGCCAGAGAACAAGGGAGGTATCAATGGTGAGTTCTGGCTTCTCTGTTTCTAGAAAAATAGCACTGTTCACAGGAGTTGGTTTCAAGATCCCTCACTATCCTGCTCAACAGCCTCCCTCTTCTGGACCCATATTAGTTTTTGTCAAAGTCATTCTTAAAATGTGGTGCCCACAACCAGACAGAATACTCCAAATGCAGTATAACCAGCACAGAATAGAATGGAACTATTGCTTCTCATGATATGTTTGTTTTGTCCATAGGTTTCTATTCAAAATCCAGAGAGACCCTGCATTAGATATTTTTCGTTCTGCTGCTTCTGAAATCTGATGGGAATTTTTTTTGGATGACATTATAAAACGTGCCCTTGTTACAAATCATTTTTTACAAAAATAATAATAGTGTATTGTGATTGTGGTGACCTTCGTTGCTTATTCTTTTTGCTCCAAACCATTGCCATTGCTCTTAATCAAATCTTAGTGCCAGATGCACCAGCAGGTGATGATGCTCTTGTGCTATAGAGGGATGGGGAGCCAGTCATTATTGGCCAATGGACAGCGACAATATAATCCAGTAACATCTGACTTTGTGATCAAAGTTGGTCACATTGCTGGTAGGGAGGTGCAGGAAAGGTTCAGGTTAGATAATGTAATACCTTTGAAAGTGAAGGGCTTTTCTGGTGGCCAGATGGAACAGTCTTGAGGTCTACCTGCCACATCTGCCTGGAGTTGTGGGGCCCTGGAGTTTAAAGAAAATGTAACTGTAGTTCAATCCAGTGTCTGGTCTCCTTATTCCTGGGTCTGGATACAGAATACCCCACACCAGGTGCCGGTCGATTGCAGTTGTTGTTACATTAATATATGTGGCCCAGTTCACCCAGCCTGCTTATTTCCCTGTGCAGCTGCAAAGCTAAACCCACTGTACAAAAATGCAGATAAGAAGACTGTTAAGATTTTAGGCTTGTTTTCCACTCTTCTGCAAGAACTCACACCAGGTAACAAATCAATGTAGGCAGGCAAGAAATGAAAGACTATATGTCAGATTTGATTTCTTGCAACTTCCTGATAAGAAGAGGCTTTTAAACTGTACATTAATACAAAATTATTAATATCCTTTTGTGAGGTGTTAGATAAAATAAAATAAAGCACAACCCATGCTGCTGAATCCACAGTTCCCACCAAGTCTGGTCTTTTAGCTAGATTATTTTTTGACAGTATAATTAGTCACAGTTTTCCTTAAATCAGACAGAAGAATAATTGTATACATTGTGTGTGTGTGTGTTTCTGTGTGTGCATTTGAGTGAGTAAGTTGCTAGACAACTTTCCCCTGCAATTATTTTCTCTCCTAATAAATAATATTTGAACTACTGTGTTCATATTCTTAAGTGAACATCTCTCAATCAGACCTGCAGCTAATCTGGCTTTCCGAAAATAACAGGCAAATTGCCCTGGAACATTATATAAGTCTCAGGTGGTGGAAGCTATTTGAATATCCTGCAGCTATTTATTGGATCTAAATGGAAAAAATGGTGACATATTAAAATTAAATCTAGATAGCTGTTCCCATAGCTGCAAATGAAGGGCAGAAAAATTGGGTCCTGATGGTTCCAAGATTTCACTTTCTACTATTCTATACATGCATTTAGGACTGAAATGGGGCAATTTTGTGCTGGGGTGCTCTAAGGGAAAATGGATTTACCGAACCTTCTCTGAAACATTATTATACAATGAGTTATAATGAACAAGCCTCAGTGTATTCATTTTGCTACCATGTAGGTGTGGTGCAACTGTCAAATATTGGTCCTGGTTTTTGAAAGAATAGAAACACTGAAAGTAGACCCGTTCCAGGCAACTGGAAAACAGGGGTTTTTCTTTGTTACTTAGTTTTAAGTTAGTCCTTAAAATCTGTTGCCAGTAACACAATAATTCTCTTCTCATGCAATGGATGGGTTTGGGGTTGGTGTGTTGCAGTGGGGCTGAGGGATAGCCATACCCACAAATCAAGGTCCATCACTGAAGAGGGTTCAGAACATGCTAAGGCATTGGTGACATGTTAAGGGGGTCAGTCTTGCTCATGGACTAGTGGGCAAGTGCTCAATCCTATGCCATCCTACCTGAGAGTAAGCCTTATTGAAATGAATGGGACTTATATTTGAGTTGACAACTGTGAGAACAGGATGCTGGACTATATAGAGCATTGGCAATTAGACATGTATAGGATTATTCTGCAAATATTTTAAAGAAAATAAAATAGGTCATGAAATGCAGCATGCAGAGGAGACGGAGTTATGAAATTCATCTCTTCTGGTCCATGGCAGCCAAGAACCTGTGTAATCATGTTACCTACAGTATTCATAATTTCAGTGGATGCACTAGCAAAACATTGTGGTTTAATGCCAGGGAAAATATGATATTTATGGATTTTTTTTAAAAAAAATTACTACAGGATCCACAGAAGAAAATTGACTCTCAATATGTAGACAATTGCAGTTTGTCCTGCATATCCCACTTACTGTCGCATTATGGTAGACATGCCCAAGGCAATGTGGTTACCTCCTCTTTCATGGTGGCTTCTACAATTTTCAGGATCTAGGAACATTCTGAAGTTTTATTTATATAGCATGCAAATGTCACGCCTCCCAAATCAGTGGGATTTGGCCATATACTGTAAGCCGTATTAGTTCCTGGAGTTATGTGAGAACAGTCACAAAGATGGAAGCAGCTGCAGTCTTCTTCAGGCACTTGATATGGGCAGACCTTTTGATCAGATTCTGATTGTGTGTTTCAGTATCTCGACAGGGGTAGCCAACATGGTAACCTCCAGATGTGGCTCAACTCCAAGCCCATCAGCCCTAGACAACATGGCCAACAATTTGGGATAATGGAAGCAGTAGTCCAGTAACATGTGGAGAGCACTACCTTGGCTATCCCTGATCCAGGCCTGGCTGAGAAACCTATGGCCTTCCAGATGTTGCTGGACCAGATGTTGCTGGACACCCATCAACTGGTCATTGGCCATGCTGCCTGGAGCTGAAGGGATTTGGAGTCCAACAACAACAGGAGGGCTACAGGTTACCAACTTCTAGTTTAGGGGGCACATAACACACTCTCAAGAGCTTGTACATATGGCTTGTGTAATTCCAGGTTAAAATATTACATAACAACATAAGAAAAGCCAAAGGTTTGTCTAGTCCAGCATCTTCTTCTTACAATGGCCAACTAGATACCTGTGGGAAGCCTGAGCATGGCATTCTACGTCTGACAGTGAAGGTAGTAGAACATCAGTAGAACATATGTAAATGGGTTTGGGTGCCTCTTCTCATGTTACAAGAATCAGGCTGCCAGAAAAACCCCTCCATCTGTTGTCCGACACTGTAAGCAGAACTAGACACAGTGCTTGCAGTAATTAACTTTATTGCTCAGTAATCAAGAAGTCTGTATAGTTAAAGCTATGGTTTCACCAGTAGTGATGTATGGAAGTGAGAGCTGGACCATAAAGAAGGCTGGTCGCCAAAGAATTGATGCTTTTGAATTATGGTGCTGGAGGAGACTCTTGAGAGTCCCATGGACTGCAAGAAGATCAAACCTATCCCTTCTTAAGGAAATCAGCCCTGAGTGCTCACTGGAAGGACAGATCCTGAAGCTGAGGCTCCAATACTTTGGCCACCTCATGAGAAGAGAAGACTCCCTGGAAAAGACCCTGATGTTGGGAAAGATGGAGGGCACAAGGAGAAGGGGGCGACAGAGGACGAGATGGCTGGATAGTGTTCTCGAAGCTACCAGCATGAGTTTGGCCAAACTGCGGGAGGCAGTGGAAGACAGGAGTGCCTGGCGTGTTCTGATCCATGGGGTCATGAAGAGTCGGACACGACTAAACGACTAAACAACAACAATCAAGAAGTCATCACCCAGCACATCCATCAGATAAACACGTCAGTTGCAGAAGCTAAAGTTCCGTCTGCTCTCCCCCTCATTTGTACCTCCCCCCTTGCCTTATTTGTACCTCCCTCCTTCCCACCGTGACTCAGCTTTTCTCAATTGTTCTAGCCTTTTCCTGACCCTTCTTTCTTGTGCTGAGAGTAGGGGAGGGGAAGGAGCTGAATCCGGACTGTACTGCAGAGCAGAAGACACAGTCCCTGCTCCTTCTCTATCAGCGTCTGTGGCTACCTCAAGCATCTCCACTTCACCCTCACTCTGCTGATGATTCCTCCCTGTCTCACCAGTCTGAACCTGGTTCAGTGTCCCCATCCCCCTCAGGTGCCTCCTGGACTACGGGCTGCTGTTTCTCATCCAGCCAATCCCTGACATCTGATGTATAAGTGACTTAAGCTTCTACTTTTTTGTGTTTCCAGTATAACATGAGAATAAAGAAAGTTGTGATCTGCCCCCCCATGGGGTGCATAAGTTCCAAATATGTGCGGAGGTCAAAATCTTGTTAGACAGGGAACACAAGTTATTGCTTTGCAACTTATTATTGTATAGGCAAAAAAATGCTGATCTATACACCATACTGCAATGCCCAAAGCTACTTTAAGGTACATCAAACTTTTAATGCATGTTTATACCACTTTGTCATTAATTGCATATATTCAAGCCGATCACACACAATATTAGAAAGAAATCATATTATTTTTGTTATCCATTAAGGGATCCAACAAGGAGGCTTGATTTTGGGGAATTATTAGTAATGTTACAAACTTCCGTGCCTCCCTTGGAATTCTCCTGTGTGTCTATATCATCACTTAGAACAATATTTCATCCGTTTGTTCAGTTATTCTCAATTTTATAATGGATTGAATCTATATTGCTCTGAGCCTGTTTACGCTCGGCAATTTTGTGTGTTTTAAGATTAGCATTTCTTATGATTTCCAGGACATATTGATTTTCTTTGGATGGGATACAGAGGTGCACAGCTGATTTCCAATGATTCAAAATGTCGCAAAATCTCTAGCCTTCTAATGCAGGCTAAAAGGGACCGAGTTTTTAGTGCCTTGTCTGGAGGATGGCATTTCTTGAAGGTCAACCAAAGCAGCTCCCTGGCAGACAGAAAAATATTATTTGTCAAACTGAGATGACAGAAGTAATGCTTGGTCTCAAAGCTTATCAGGGCTATGTGGTGGTGTTCATGAAATGTGTACAGTGGACATATCTTTGGAGTGACACCGCAACAGAAACATTTAAAGTTTTTTCTTACTAACTGATAAGGGCCCCTTGGGAGCATGTCTACAATTAATGACTGCGGTGCAGAACTTATTGGATATATGGTTTGGTTGTCAAGTGATAAAAAAAAGCTTGTTCAGTTGATACAAGATTGATCTTTGCTGCATTCATTCCTGAATTCTAAGAGTATGTGTTTCTCCTTACATTATAATCTCCAATGCTGCCTTTAAAAAAACCAAAAAAACCTATTGACTGCACTGAATAGAAAGACGGTGGTGAAAAAATAGTTGGGACAGTTTAGGACAAAGGGCAGAATGGATCACATAGTGTTATTCAGTCGGCAGGTTCCTAAATCTTCTTAAATTGAGAAAAGGTTTATCATCTCCTCTGAGGGGTACATCAGTCTGGACAAGATGCACCACTTGGATGTTGCACTGATTATTGCCCCCAATCCAAGAGAGCAAATACTAGAAGGAAAGGTTATGTAGAACTCAGCTTATGTGATTTGCACAACAGACTGAGACAGAGTGGCATGAACCAGCCTTTTTCACGTGTTACTTACATATAGGGCTATCATGTGAAGAAACAGGCCCAGGCCCATGACTTCACCCCCAACACCCACATCCTAATTCTTTCCCAGGTCCTTTCCCTCTTATTATTACACTACTAGTAGTCTCGTTGCTCGGGAGTTCTAAGAAACCCCCAAATCAGTGCAGCTTTGAAATCACTGTTTAAATTCAGAGTAATTTTGAAACGTTCAGTATCTTCACCATCTTGATTCAAAATGGCACCTCATTATAGCCAAACAGACAAAAAGCTGTTGCTTAATATCTTAAGAGACGTCCGAATCCACAACAACTTTCTAAAATATATAATAAAAAAGACAAGTGAGAGAAAGAAAGTAATAGAAAGAGAACAGAAAAAGAACAAGATACACATAAAAGAGAAGGAAGATTTAGGAAAATGAGTTATTCCTTGGAGCCCATGGCAGCTACTTTTAAATTCAACAAAAACACTGGGCAACTGGTCCTAAGTGTATCATGATCAATACAGCTTTGGGAGTAAGATAATTGCCTAAAACAGGTTAATTATCTACAGCTTTAGCAGAAGCCTTATTGGACAAGTAGCCTTTTGGAAAACCTGACCGCTTCAAAAGTAGTAACAATGAATCCAGTATAACTGGATTTAAAAGCTACCAAGTGCGGCTCATGCAAGACATTATTTGAAGACTTTATTGCCAGATGTCTTTGCTTCCGATTCTGTAAGCTCAAATGGCAGCATTTGTTGCTATCAGTCTTTTGACTGGGAGTTTCAGGTGCATGAAGGAACAAGAGCAATTGAGCATTGCGGGATTTGAGTGACAGCCTGGGGCTTTCAAGGCAGACTCTTGCTTACAAAGTTGAGAGAATTTCCAATTGTCAAATTGGCATGTGCCAGATGAAGGGCTTAGTCGGGGCGCCAGCTGTTCTACAGGCACACCTGCTGCGAAATAAACAATTAATACAAAAGTGAAGTGCACGAATATGCAGGCAGAAGACTTTAATCCCCCCCAATCCCATATTGTGCCATTCTACAGCATCTTTCTGGGGTGACAGGTGCCATAAGTCAGCTTATTGATTAATAACAACATATTGTCGAAACAGAATGTGCGGGCTTGTCAATGAGAAGGAAGAGGAAGGGGGCACAAAAGTGGGAGGCAAAATCCATGAAGAGTAAAAGGGCTTCAATAGGTTCTTTTGCTGTTAAAAAATGGAGAGGCAGATACAATATTCATCCAGTTTTGTTTTGTTTTGCAAGGGAAGCCATTTTTAAAGAATTGAGAATAAAACATTTCAGACCACTGCTTGCTAAGATATTGGCTATAACCATGTGAAACACAGGCTGTATTGAATAATATAGTGCCCTGTTCTAAGTATGCATCTATTTATGAATGCTTGCCTGCCTGCCTGCCCCCCCTCTCTATATATATGGGCAGCAATTTGTAAGAAACTGCCTGCAGCCTAATCATCTTACAATGCTTGCAAGCAGCACTCCCTATTCACATACTGTAAATTGTGGAAGAGGCACATAGATAACACATTTACCTTTCTTTTTCTTTTGCTGAAAAGGTCCCCAAAGAAATTTACAAAGATGAAGTTTAAGACCGTCTCTGCCCTCAGGATTACGATTTAAAAGACATGCCATGCCAGGAAAAAGAGTGGGAAGAGGAAGCATATATTAAGAGAAATGTGTGAGAGAATGCATGCAAATTTCCATGTGGAATGTTAAACGAAAAACTGGCAAATTGATGAAAAAATTGAATCTTAAGTTTGGAAAAAAGAGAAACAAAGACTAATGGGTTTGCCCATCACTAGTCAGGGACCGTCCAAAGTTGTGGAGGGGGGGGGGACTGGTATCCCTTGTACATGTAATAATTTTTTGAACCACAATTCGTGAGGGAGACATGGGGCAGACACAGGAGTTGGCAACAAATTTGCACCGCTTCTCTTGGGGGAATACCTGAGGGCTGACAGTCACCACATCTTCCTATTGCGCAGCCATGCCTGCTGTGGATTTACTACAGTTCCACCACTAAAAGAGGCAGCCTCCAAATTTCATCCAGCCACCACACATCCCAAAATTGTCATGCTCATTAAATCAATACCAATGATAATAGAGATACTGCATTTGACAGTGTGTGGCCAGCTTGAAGGGTTTTAGCAGTCTCTGTGCTCTGTATTTGTGCAAATGGCAGGTACAGTAAATATTATTGACATGTCTGGTTTGTTGAAGGGTTTTAAGTAAAAGGTCTTCTTCCTTCAGTTCCCCTTTTTATTGTCTAAGAATTAAATTGTTTGACTGGATGACTGTCTAGCTAGCTTGACGTTGGCACAAGAGTGCTATAACTAGTAATTTCCCTCTGTAGGTCATTCGGTGTGCGTCTTTCCTATGCGAGAGCTAATAAGAGGTGTCATTCCTCAAATCCTTGCCTCTTCCTGCATTTGTGTCAGCAGCTAAGGAGCTGTGACATTCAGCTCCCTTATGGCCATGGTGTGCCCGCTAATTATGAAGCTCAAATCAAATCACTAACAGGCTCAAAGGGGGACAGTTATCTGTTGATCGGTGCCATTTTTTCTTCAGACGATCAGCTCATGGATGCCTGATGTAAAACCCTTAGCATCTCCAAGAGAAACAAACCCAAGCAAACTGGGATAGATTTTCCTTACAGTTGTGGACTTTAGAGACAGTCTTACATGGAAGAAAGTCATTCAACACAAGAATGCATGTACTTTGAACAGTACAAATGAATGTTTTCAGTGAAGGATGGCAACTTTCAAGCCTTACCTTCGTTATGAACTTATTTCACAATAATTTCATTTAGAATGCATTAGGGTTAAATGAGCAGCACCCAGCGGTCTTTCATTACACTATATTATGGGTTGGCAAACTAAGGTCCGCAGGCTGGATCAGGCCCAATTGCCTTCTAAATTTGGCCTGTGGATGGTCTGGGAATCGCCGCGTGGATCGCCAGCACATGGATCGCCAGCGTGCTCGTTTTTTGCCTCTCTCTCCCTCTTCCTCACACAGCAGTGACGCCGGCGCCTCCTCCCTCCCTCCTCCTGGCTTCTCCCTGCCCTGCCTAGAGGAGGAAGGGGACAGGGCTTTGTTGGTGCTGGCCCCTCTCTGGAGCCCTTTCATGCACCGCTCATTGTCCCTCTGCCACTGCCGCTAGCCCCTGCCGCTCGCAAGACACAGGAGCCACGGTTGGCTGAGCTCCCCTCTCGAGTGGCCACCATTTAAAGCAGCCCCTCTCCAGAGCCCTTTCGCATGCCGCTCATCGTCCCTCATTCTTTTTTCCCCAAAATACAGTCCGGCTTCCCACAAAGTCTGAGGGACAGTGGACCGGCCCCCTGCTGAGAATGTTTGAGGACCCCTCCACTATATGCTGACACAATCCACTGCTTTCCAGAATGGAGAACTAATACAGGATTATTATTGAAAGCACATTGAACTATTCTGAACTACATACACACTGGGGAGGGCATGGAAAGAAGAAAGGAAGAGACAGTAGTAATATAGCTAAGCTGGTACAAAGCTGGGGATAAAAATAAATCACTATTCGGGGTGGGGGACATACGTATGTGGGGGTGCAATAGAAAAATAGCACCCTTGTGCAAGATTGTGCAAGAGGAAACATCTGCTGACTTGTTCCCCCACCCGCCTGGGTCACTGTCGCGCTGCCTAACCACAAAGCTTCCGCGGCTGTCATGCTGTCTGGAGTTATGTCCTGGTAGAGAATAGTTATTCTAAGAAATGCAAACCCTAGCTGTTTTCCACCCGAGTGCTACACGTGTATATGCAACATGATGTAATGTGCGCAAGGCTAATAAACATGCAAGGCTGCTGGGAGAGAGAGCTCACTCCTTGCTTAAACCTTCACCCATGACTCTTCGTCATTTTCCTCCGCACCTGGTGGGCTGGTTCCCCGACATACGTATTTATTAATTTTCTTTCAGAACCTTCCATTCCTAGCTTGCCCCTGTCACACAATCCCAAACCCCTATCCTTTCCTTGAGGAAAGCACCACAAAACTCCAAGGAAGCGTTCAGATTAGATTACTTTGTCACAATAAAAGCATAATGACTTGGATACTTACTTCCTGAGGTAGACATCTGATCACAGGGCTTTCCTGCCACCCAAGTATGGTTTTCTCTGCTTTCCCAAAACTTTATTGCAGAGTTGGAGCAGCTTCTTGAATAGCATGAATATTGACACAAATATTGTAGTGGGAAGGGCAACTCTGCAAAAACCAGTCCTCTCTCCTTGCAAGCAGAAGGGCTTTGTTCTCAGGCAAGGGTATACTGGGCACCTTTTTGGATTCAAGCTGGTTTGTGTAGAGCATGCTGTGATCTATACTATATCATGCTCTATTTGGGAGCCATGCTAGAGCTCTGATAATGGACTCTCCCTCCCACTCATAACACTGGTTCTTGGGCTACCGCAACCCACTAAGAGATTTAAAGGTGACCAGTACCTCTTAATAATTGGACATAGGCATTTTCTGACAAATGCCAAACCAACAGGAGCCAGATTCCGCTCCCCCACCCACCCAACTTCCAGTATATCACACATTAAATATAGCTCACCTGGGGGCCAAGTATTATGGCTAATTTTCTTTGAAAAATGTGTTTACACAAATTCTAGTGTTTAAACGTAAAATCCCCCCAGGAAAAATTATACCTCCACCACACATTGTCTTTGTTCTACAATTGATTTTCTGATGTTGGGCAGCGGCAAGCCAACAGCAGTAAAACATCTCGAAATTAAGTGTGGGATAATTTGTTAATGTGCCAAACTTCCAACTTGCTGCACGGAATGGGCAAATAACAAAGCAGTCTAAGGAGTCACAAGCAAAAATAAAGCCAGGTGCTGTGCCTAAAAATGTCTAATCTCATACTTTGCAGCAGCAGGGGCATGTGTGGTGGTGGGGAACACTCCTCACTATACTGCTGCTGGGTGGCTTGGGGTGGGGCTGAGGTCAGGGCCATGTGGGTCACTGGAGGGACCAGTCATTGCTGCCCTGCCTCAGCACTACCCAGGTAAGCCATAACAACACTGTTGTCAGGAGGGCAACTCTACTGTACCACAGAAATCACTACTGTTTTATAGATTGAATTTTGCAGGGCTGGCCCACCCATGTGGCAAGGTGAGGTGAGTGCCTCAGGCAGCCAGATCGAAAGGGGCAGCAGTTCTAGCCCCCAAGAAATGCATCACCCGCTACTCCTGAAATTGCAATGGCAGCAGCTATGGCATGCTCCTTGGAGGCTGGGTCTGCCATCTCCATGGCAGTCCCTCTAAAGCAGCCTTTACAGTGGCCTCTTGGTAAATAGGAGGTGCTGCTGGCCTCCTCCCACCTTTGTTCCTAATGTAGATTTTTATCCCCTCCTTGTTCCCGATGTAGAACTTCATTAAGCCCTTCTTCCTTGGCAGGGGGCACCATTTTGTGGTTCGCCTCAGGTGCCAAAAACAAATTGGGCCATCCCTGAATTCTGGACATCAGTCTGATGGTATGACAGCAGAAAGCACCAACAAACTTCTTCCTCAGCTCCTATTCACTTCTCTAATTTGAATCTATTAAACTTTATGCTGTATGGGAGGTATTCAACAAAGTTATTTCACTAGCATTTGGATTTCCACTTGTGCCATGAAACTGATCTGCCATGTCCTCTCCCTGCACACACCTGTGTCCTCCCTGAATCTGCTCTGGAAGGCACATTTAAGGGTCACAAGGGATGGGGCATGTGGAGGGAGGAGAGGGGACGTTCCATTGTGAAGCCAAAAGTCCTTGCCATAGTGGAAGCATTTGGTTTAAGAGTGCCTTGTGAGTGGTATTCAACTAAGTTTTACTCATAGTCGACCTATTGAAATCAATGAACCTAACTTCGTTATTTTCATTAATTTCAATGGGTTTTATTTGAGTAAAACCTTGGTGGGATACGATGCCATATCCCGCCCCCCCACTTCCTGGACATAGCTCTCATATGAAGAGGACATGTCAGAAGAAAACATGTTTAAGCCTTCTTCCTGATAAGGTAGCTTATCAATTGTCTGTTCTTATGGGGCTGTGCCCCCAGTCCCAAGAGATCACAAACTGGCACATCAGATAGAAGCTGCATAATATGTTTCACACTCTAAAATACCTAATTGCACCCTGAACTGGTTGAGTTTCTTTGGTCCCAAGATTGTTTCCATAATCTAATACCTCTAACAGCTTAACATTCAACCCCAAAGCTCCAGGAAAAGAGAGTGATCATATCTCAAAAATGCTGGTTGTCCATGGTAATTTTTGTCAGTTTCTGGAGATGGGCCAAACATAATTATTCCCTGTGTTTTATGGAGAATGGTGCTTACTGTCCCATCAGTCAGGAGTGTGGTTTTGACCCTGCTTCTTGTGATGATGATAGCAACAAGAGAGAAACTATCCTGGCCAGTGCTCAGAATGACTCTATTTTAACTTCTAACACACGTAGTGCCATTTCAGGGTCATCTGGGTAGGTGGCAGCTACTAACTGCCTCAAGGAGATCCTCCTTCGCTCCTACCACTACCCCTGCTATTGAAGTTAGTGGCAAAACAACTCATCTCAACAAGAATATGAAGTTAAATGAGAAGCATCTGCCACTACCAAGTGTGAACCCACAACATACCCTGATTATGTTTGACCCAGCTATGAAATTGTTCCCTTTTCGAGGATCCAAATTCACTTTCTTCCACCAAAAATGTTCACCTCAACCCTAATATGCTCATAACCTCATGCACCATGTGACAAGTTGCCTGAGTTAAAGAAGCATCATTAAGGAAAATGAGGAGTCTTGTGCCATGTGGTTTCATGGACCACAGTCCGTTTCATTTAGAACTCCAAGCCTATGTCATATAAAATCTGTTCATCTCAAGGTGCCAAAAGACTGTTACTTTTGCTATAGTAGGCTAACCCTTCTGGAAATGATAGAGGAAACACCACAGAGAAGAGGTTTCATATTCACTCTGCTGCTATCCCTAGCTAAGTGAAGGAAGGTGGGTCAGTTTTTTTAAAAAATGTTTCCAGTTTTGAAACCATTCCCTAGAAATGAGACTGGCTCCCCAAAATACAGGGACTGGTTATAATTTTGTTAGAGCAACAATGTAAGACTGATGATCTATTCATTTTAGTGAGACTTTGGCCAAATAAACTGCATTAGACAAACAGCCACCAGTTGCTGCCAATGTAGGCTTTGCTCTCCTTTGGCAGGTTAGTTATTTACTGGCTGATTGCTCTTTTCATATGTGAATGACAGTCTTTTTGAATTAATGGCTTACATGATATCTGCCTTTGTTTCATATGAATGCGTTTATCTGTATAAAGTGGCATGCCAAAAAGCACTGATAGTGATCTGATATTGCATGTCTGCCGTTGTACAAGATCTATGGCAGTGGTAGCTAATATGGTGCCCTGTATATGTTGCTTGACCCTATTGCCCACCATCCCTGACTATTGGCTAATGCTGGTGGGATCTGATAAGAATTAGAGTGCAACAACCTCTGCAGGTACCATGTTGTGCTATCGCTGGCCAATAGGAGCAGGATGTAATCTTTGTAAACTGTTTAGCATTTTTGTTTTTTGTTTTTGCCAAAAATGTTAAACAATATATCAACTCTCTAGACCTGGTCCCTACCACCCACTAGTGGGCATTTCAGGATTCTAGGTGGGCGGTAGAGGGTTCCACGGCACAAGCTGAAACCTCCTTCCATCAAGCACTGGTGGGCAGTAAGGAAATGTTACCGTTAAGAAAGATGCATTAGTGGGTGGTAGGCACTAGACAAATAAATGAAACTGCTCTTCTGGATCCTTCACTGATATCAAGCACTGCAGGTAGGAGACACAGGGTGTTATGGACCTCTCTACCTATAGCCTGTCATCCCCATGATAGTTTGAACAATATTTTTTTTACTATTTCTCTACCTATATGACATGAGGATTTGTTGGCTGTTCTTCCTTCTTGTAGGGGGAACTGTAGTGATTCTTGTTGCACCAAGGAAACCAATGAAGCTCACTGGGTGACTTTAAGTCATTCACTGTTTCTCAATCTAACCTAAAATAGAATGAAAGGAACGGGAGAGAAACTTATACACTGTCCTAAAACCTGGAAAGAAAGATGGGATAGAAATGTAGTAAGCAAATCAATTCAGGCGAACTGGGTAACTGCAGAATTGGAGGTGCAATGTGAGAACCAGTCTGGACAATATGGAAACCAAAGGTCCGTATTCTACTGTAGTTTCTTTGGTCCTTTTCTGAAGAACAACATTTGGATTTCAAAGCCTGTTCAGCAAATGGCTGCGGAAAGATTCTTGTAGTTTCTACAATATAGCTGAAGTTGGAAAATTCCACTCCATTTTCTGATCTATTTTCTTTCTACTCCTATGATCAACATTTCCCCCACTCATTATAAAGTGTAGCAAATGCAACAGACATCAACTATGCCTTATAGTATATGTATTTGATTACCTGCTGTGCAATGAAAAAAAGATGAGATGGATTTCACACTATACTAGAGATGATTGGTATGTTTATTTTCTTCCTCATCACTCATTTGGCTCTGGAGATACAGTGCATAAGCAGTCAAAATCCAGCTTTGAATGTGCCTCTAGAGCTAGCTCATAGGAGGTACCATAACATAATGTACGCAGTGTCCATGTGAGAGGGCAAAGTAGCTATGGGTGTGCTGTGACACTGACTGTTATGTTGGTAAGCTCAGCCCTGAAGACAGAATAAAAAGGGGAAATGCTCTACCATCCCACTGGTGCTACAATGTCCATACTGAACTGGAATCAGAGTGATCTAATTTATTCTCAAATGGCTATGAATAGAAGATGCTATAGGGCAAGCAGGGAGGGAGAGCTGTTGCCTTTGTGCCCTCTTTAAGGTCTCAGGGTATGGACTATGGACACATAGCACAGTCACCTTGCTGAGGATGAGCAGATCTGGCTCTGATCTATATGGGAGGCCACTAAGATCTCCATTTACGTAACCTGGAGTTCCATTATGGAAGAAAGGTGAATGGGCTCCCCAAAAGCATTGGTCTGGTGGCAGGAAAGGACTCTGGACAATGTGAACATATAGTTTGATCCAACAAAGCTCTAATCTTCTTACACTCTCAAGTGTAAGAATCTGCTGGCTCAAATTTAAAGATCTAAGGCAAATCCCACAGTTGTTGGGCGTGGGATTCCCTGCTATTCTCTCCATCCGTTGTCTCCTTTGGTGAACATCAAATTCCACAGCTTTTCAGTATCACCAACATGCAAATGATACCCAGCTGTAGCTCCCTACCCAAGGCATCTCTTCTTTTATCCCATCTTATATCTCTACTTGTGCGTCAGATAGATCTACTCCAATGTTTCACTACCACTTAAAAGTTGACATATAGATGACTGAAGCACTTATCTTTCTTCTCAAGTTTCCATCTTCCTGATCATCCTCCCCATCCATTCCATTATCACCTTGGTAACTAAGAATGCAACACTGGCTTTATCCTTGGTTACCTTTGCTTCTTACATTTAATGGGTTGCCAAGCTGCATCACATTGCCCTGTGGAGCACCTCAAATATCTGCTGGCGTCCCGTCTAATTAGTTAAAACTCTGGTTCATGATCTGGTTATTTCTTGCCTCTTGCCTCTTCTCTTCCATATCTCAGGCCTCTCAACTACATACAAAACTCAACTGCCAGAACCATTCATCACTTCCATTGCTCAGATCATATGACGTCCTCCTTCACTTGCTTCATATGTAAGATCTAAGATCTCCTTATTCCATATGGGCCACTCAACCACTTCAGTCTGTGGGACTGGCACTGTTACAGGTGCAACATAGTACTCTGCACTTGTAAGAAATTGGTCTTTGGAACGCCTTGCCTATTGATATCATGCAGATGCTGTCGCTTTACTCTTTTCAGCATCTGCTTAAAATATTTTTGTTAATGCTAGTCTATCCAGACACATAGATAGTAATGTATTTTAATGTCTTTCTAGTCTATTACCTGATTTTAATTACTTAACTGTTTTTCTTGGTAATTTTAATTGTTCTTGAAAACCATTTAGGGCTTTCATTACAATCAATGGTTGCATATATTTTATTAAATAAAAATAAATGTACCTTTCTCTGTTCAGCTGAAACTCCTTTTGCTTACCCTTTGAACCATGGTGGAAAAAGACTTTAGGCTTGTTATAACTTAAAACCCCCCTCAAAAACTAGAATCCCAAGATCAGCAAGCCAACTGTTTAGCTTTCTTCATTTCAGCAACCTAATTTAGGTGGGGAAAGTTGCTTTTGTTGTTGCTGTTGTTAAACAATCTAGAGTCAGAAGTCTTGTAGATCACCCAGTGATTTACAAGTAGATAGCAATTTACTCTTTGTCCCCCTGCGTTGACATTCTTTGCAACCTTGTATACCATAATGTCCCTCGCTTCTCATTATATCCTTCTCTGCAACTTTCAGTTTTCCAACTCTGCCATCATCACAATCCTGTCCATTGCCCTTGCTGTTCCATCATGGACCATTGCCATGGTGCTGCTGCTTTCACTTCCTTCAATTCCCTCTCGAAACCCCATTTCTTCAGGATAGTCTTGGGCTTATCCCCCTAGTACTCATTCCAACAATAGCTATGTTTTTGCTGTAAATCTGCATTGCTTCCCTATTACGGATGGGGAAGAAATGCAACTCAGCTCACATTTAAAGCCCAAAGCATCTTATTTGCACTTTCTGAAACAATACAAGAAGAGAAGCACGGCGATCTTTCAATTTTCACAAATTTCAGAATTTTGCAAAGCAGTTCTCCAGCCAAACATTATATCAAGGGAACATGTGCATAAAAATAAATAAAGTCGTGAAAAAAATATGCAAAATGCAGTATATCGGGGGAATTGCTTGCAAAAATGTGCAAATTAATCAATACTGCATGCAAAGATGTGTTTGTTCATATAAATTTGCACTCAAATTATCAGAAATGTGGAGAGCTGAATTTAAGATTTGAAAAATGAGAACTATAAGCAGCATATCTGTCCATCCCCACTCCCTACCCTTATCTCTTCTACCACTGTCTATGTTGTTTTCTGTATTGTATATTGTAGTTTGTAAGTTCCTTAGAAGTAGGGACCTTCCTTCTTTCTTTTTCTCTCTCTCCCTCTCCTATGAAACTCTGTAAGGCACCATGCACACTCTTTGTGCAGTATGAATGATACAAATGACAAAGATACAAGTCACCAAACATCTGGAATGAAACCACAGTAGTGACTTGGAAGTGATCCTCCTGATGGAAACAGTGACAGGAAAAAGACTATTTGGCAGTAGCTGTGGCTATAGATTACGTATTAATCAGTTGATAACAGTCTTTACTCTGATCAGCTATGATTGCAGATAGAGAGGTAATTAGTTTTTTAAAACACATGCGTGTGAACCATAGACTGAACCTGAGACCTTTTGCCTGTGAAAAATGTGCTTTCCCATTGAGCTCTTGCCCTGTTTCTGTGTCTAGTAATTCATCCTAATGGTGTTTTAGCCCTTTATGCCTCCAAAATCTCTGGTAAATAATTAACAAATAAATTACCCATATATTAAAAATTAGGGCTAATGATTGATACCTAATGAACAAGAGGAGTTAGTCAAAGGGGTATCCGTTGAGAGTGCCTCTTCTGTTTGCGCATTACCTTCAGGAGGTCGGAATTCATTACTGTAATGAGCAAGGCTAAATATATGTGTTCATTCAAGAGAGAGCAGATTTCTTTGCATGGTGATTATGTGTACACATTCATGGTTTGCTACATCACAAATGGCCTGGCTGGTCAAGTAACTCAGGAGGTTGCAGAAGGAATGTGCGTCTAAGTTGACGGCAGCAAAACACATTAAGGAATTCTTCAGGCAAGTCATGTCCAATAAGTCTTTGATTTTCATCATCTTTGTGCATCCACACAAGACGCTATCAATGTCACAGAGATACTGCTCATCTGGCAAAGATATTAAAAGGAAGCAAATGCAACGGGACATGCTAAGAAAGCCGTTTTGGTGTTCAGCATTTAGAGTCTTCCCTGTACATTTTGCATGCCTTCTTCCAAGCAGTGACTCCTTAATGTCAACATAGCTCAGAACAGATGTTATAAAGCATGTCTAACTACAATGCAAAATCGGGGGCTGTTTCTGATATCATCATCATCATCAGGTTGAAGGAGATGGTCAAGCTCTTTGCCTTTCCACGCACACCAGCTGTTTGGTACAAAGCCCAAGTGTACTGCAGGAGGGAGATTCTGGAAGAGCAGAAACAGAGTTGCTTTTTTGCCTTCTAAGTTGCATAAAAGAGAATGAAAGGAGCATAGAGGACAGAGCCAAGAGAGAAATAGGCCTAAGCCAAAGCTTGGCTTAAGGAGAGTGTGGAAACACACAGGCTCCTAGAGAAGAACTCCAAGAAACTTTGCTCTTCTATTTCATTTTTGCTGCTGTGCCACAGCAAGATTTGACTTAGTGTGTGGCCCAATTGAAGACTTGTGCTTAAGCTCTCTTCTCACTAAGCCTGAGGGCTGTGCATCAGATTTGACTGAGGCCCAAGCCAAATTTGGCATATTCAGAAGGACCTGTGCATTGGATTGAGTTGCACCTACAGGTTGGGTTGGATGGCCCAGAGTGATCTGTGGCTGTCAGGGGATGGTGCATAAGGCAGGACAGAGAGGAAGGCCATCAGGTGGGGAAACCCCACAAGAAGTCTCATGACTGGAATTGCAGTCTCATGACTGGAATACCCTCAGAATGGGACAGAATGCCAGTGATGGGGAGAAGGGGCCCCTCTGGCTCTGGTGATGGGACCTGCTCCTCTGGTTCCTGTGCACAGACCCCCATCCCTTCACCATCCTCTGTCACATTCCAACCTCTCCTTCACCATCCTCAGCTTGCCCAGCTGTGTACCAGTCACGGCTACAACCCTCGCTAGCATCCTCTTCCCCTTCCCTGTTGTCCTGCCAGTTCTTGACAATATGTCTGCTATGAAGAATAAGTATAACAGGCATTTTGAAGAATGTTAAAACATGATGAATAATGAAAAATATTTTGCAAATATTCTCATAATAAATCGAATTTCAACACCATTGTATTTTTTGCATTTTTAAAAGCTTGCGTGAAGCTACAGTTGTTGAAGCAAAGGAATTTCAAAAGACAAGGTGTTAAGGCAGCTTTTCACAGCCTTCTTGGATAGGGAGTTGTAGCAGATTCTGCCCATCAAGAAAGTGAGTGTTCATCTTTATTCAGATCTCACTTTTATTCTGTGCAGGTCCAGCTCGAGCTGGAGAAAAAGTACTTATTTCTACTAGGCAAAGATTCTACAGATGAATCAAGTCTGACATCCATGGCAAATAACAATTTCCGGTCTAAAAATGGGAGGAGGGGGAGAGAGAGAGAAAGATTACTCACAGGAAAAGTTCCACGTACTGACAGTGACAGGTTGGCTTGAAGATTTGAAAGAGTAAGCATGAATTCCATTGATGATACATTGAAAAATCACCTGGCTTATCACAGCTGAAGATAAGTCTGTGTAGTGCACTTCTTCTGAAACTCCCCCCCTCTCTCTCTGTGTGTGTGTGTGTTTGTGTGTTTATATATCTGAGTTTTAACCCACCATGATTAAACTGGGTCGTGCAGCACTCAAAAGCACTAGGGGCCTAGTTTATGTTAAAATGATTGCTAATCATCTCCTTTTTATACTAATTACTCATGACAAACACTCTCTGAACATGATACTAATTTGGCTGAAATGGATAAATGCAAATATCTATTGATACTTTTGTAAACCTATACCATTTTTGCATAGTGTATTATCTGGTTCTGCTGTAATGAGATTATTGGCACTCTGTGATAAAATTAAAGACCATCCGTGTTCCCCACCCTATAATATCTTTCTTGTACTTAATTATAGTATCTTAGACCATAAATACATTAGGAAGTAAAATAATTTATTTACAAGTGTAAATAGCTTTGCTATCATTGTGGCACATTCAGACTGTATTCTGATTATATTATTCATAAGTACTCTGTTGCCGTAGCAGTTAGTGGAGTGGTGCAGGTAGGGCAGTGTTGTTCACCTGACTTCCAAACTTCAAGCATCACTGCTCATTACTGAGAGGAAGGGGATAGGCATGGACAGCTCAGGACATTGTAGGTTTGGTGTAAGTATGGTGGCAAGCATGTCAGATTGGTTCTACTGCCACCTCACCCTCTTCCTCTCAGGAAAAGGCAGAAACATTCAGAAGGCCGCCCCACCAACCACTACTGCTCTGTTGGCACAATTGTTTGCCAACACATCATGGAAGAAGACTCGTGAGGCAGAGTAATGGTGGAAAGGTTACATTATTTTAAATATAACAGCGGAATATCTGCCAAAGAACCAAATTATGTAAATATGGGCAGGTGGGATTGATTTAACATATATGAGGTATCATGACATTCCCATGGAAGA